GTGTTCCTGGAAGAGAACGCCTTCAGGAAGTGCTAAGAGCTCGCCTGTCATGCTTTCTTGGGCATTAGCAACTCATATGATTTCATCTAACAGATAACCTGAATTTGAGTTCTGCCTCTTTTGTTCAATGTTTCCAGGACCTTGGCTAAGTACATATTTAAGGCACATAGGAAGCATAGAATCTGTCTGTTTGTTCCTGTCTGTCTGCCTGATTTCCTTCTTTTCTCCCTAATTTCCTTACCATATTATGTTATGGTTTGAATATGAAATGTCCCCCACAGGATCATGTGTTGAATGCTTGGTCCTAGCTGGTGGCCATCTTTTGGGAAGTGGTGGAAAATTGAGGTGGTGGGGCCTAGCTGGAGGAAGTAGGTCACTAGGGCCTGCCTTTGAAGGGTATCATGTCCCTTCCTGTCCTCCCTGCTTGCTGGCATGAAGTGAGTAGTTTCTGCCACATATTCCTGCCACCAGGATATTCTGACTCACCTCAGGCCCAAAGCAATGGATCCAGTCAACCTTAGACTGAAATCTCTGAAACTGTGAGCCAAAATAAATCTTTCCTCCTTTTAAATTGTTTGTTTCAGGTATTTGTCACAGTGACCAAAAACAAACTAACACACATTAGCTAAAATTTAGAATAGGGGTGAGGTATCAGACGTCCTTACCGAGATTAACACTAACTAATTCTATCAAAAGGTTATAAATTGGGATAAACAAATTTTTGAAAATTGTCTAGAAATTCAATGCACAATATAAAATATTGCTTCCATGTAAGAATATTTACCTTTATAAACAATTGGTTCATTAACAAACTTTTGGAGCAAAATCCTTGGAAAATTAGGATACCATCTTTAATAAATTGATAATTTAGCACATTAAATGTCACTGCGGAACTCCTGGAGCTTGTTACAAATCGAAAACACAGCTAAATTAACAACAAATGTAGTAGCTCAATGAATGCAAATTTATAATGACTTCTTAGTCCCACATTTTATTTAATATTTTATCAAGTGAAAAATAATAAACATTCTCAAATGTTTAATTAATTGTTAGGCTATTTGGAGTGATGTACATTTAGAATAGCAAATGAAGAGAAAGCTTTTCACTAAGTAACTTAGATAGACACATTATTCCCAAAACAATGGTAAATCGTGATGGAAAGCACTTCTTGCTTGGTTATCAATATGTATGTGCAACGCTTCTTCTAGAACCATTTAGCGAGTGGAGAATCCCCCAGTACAAACAGAAATCATTCATGGTAAAAACAAGCCAAATTGTTTGTGCTTGGGGGCCAGCATCTCCTGTGTCGATCTGGAAGCAGAAAATAGTTTCAAAATCCTATCTAGCATGGAATAAAAAGAAATCCTTAGCAGTAGTAGAATATGTGGTTAATGCTATATTTGAAATTCTATTTGTACTTTATATTATGTTCAAATTCTATCTTGAATCAAATAAAGTCTAGCAACTCTACCATCAAAAATACAATACACTCTCTGCTCCTCCCCTTTTTGACAGACAGCCACATCTCATGCAATTCCAGTCGCATCCCTGAGACGCAGTGGTGCAGATTGGAGTGAACACATTTGGCTATATTGGGCACCTGGTCACCAGGGCTGCTTTCAACTCTGGCAAAGTGAATATTGTATCCATCAATGATACATTGATTGTCCTTTCATTGACCTCAACTCATGGTCTACATGTTCCAGTATGATTCCACCCCTGGCAAATTCAATGGCACAGTGAAGACTGAGAATGGGAAACTTGTCATCAATGGGAAGGTCATCTCCGTCTTTCAGAAGAGAGATCCCGCCAGCATCAAATCGGGTGATATTGGTGCTGAGTACATTGTGGACTCCGCGGATGTCTTCACTATTATGGAGAAGGCTGGGGTTCACTTGAAGGGTGGAGCCAAAAGGGTCATAATCTCTGCCCCTTCTGCTGATGCCCCCATGTTTGAGATGAGTGTGAACTATGAGAAGTACGCCAACTCTCTGAAGATCATCGGCAATACCTTCGGCACCATCAACTGCTTAGCCCCCTGGCCAAAGTCATCCATGACAACTTTGGCATCGTGCAGGGGCTCATGACCACAGTCCACACCATCACTACCACTTAGAAGACTGTGGCAGCCCCACTTCTAAACTGTTTCTGTATATTTGCCTATTCTGCACATTTCATATAAGTGACACAGTGTGTGGCCTTTTGTGACTGGCTTCTTTCACTCAATATGTTCAGATTCATCCAGGCTATAGCATGTATCATCAATGACTTCATTAGTTTTTCTACTTCATTGTTAAGAAAATGCTGCTATTAACATTCAAGTACAAGTTTTCAAATGGGTATGTTTCTATTTCTCTTACATTTGTGCTTAGCATCACAAGTTCTGGAGACAAATTGAATACAGTCATTCTCCAGCTTAAAGCTCTCCTGTTACACTTACCAGAGAATCCAAACTCTATCAAAACTTTCAGTATCTTCTTCTTCTCACATTAGCTAATCTCCAAGGTTGTCCTGTATGTCTCCCTTCTCACAGCACACTACCACAGTCTCTCATTCCTTCAAACATGCCAAACTTGTTCTTACCATTTTACTTCTGTATTTGTTCTTCATTCTTGCTCTTCCCCAAATCTTCAATTGGCTCACTTGTTCTGCTCAGACTTCAGCTCAAAAGTTGCTTCCTCAACCAGCCTTCCCCAAACTCTGCATCTAATACTGTTTAATTATTCTTGCATAACCATTTAATAGAATTGTGCAATATGTAGCCTTTTATGACTGTCTTCTTAATGTTTCAGTCATCACAAGTTTTCTTTCACTCTTTCTTTCTCCTTCCTTCCTTTTTGTAGCAATACTAGGATTTGAACTCAGGGCCTACATGCTTGCTAAGCAGGTGCTCTACCACTTGAGCTACTCCTCCAGCCCTTTTAGTTTTAGTTATTTTTCAAATAAGGTCTCACATTTTTGCCTTGGAGCAAGTTACCCCTTCTGTGTAGCTGGGATTAGAGGTGTGCCCCACAACCCTCAGCTCAAATTATCATTCTTACAGGTTTTCTGTTTATCTTCCAAGCTCCTTGTGAAATCCCAGAAGATTTTTTTCCGCTTGTTTGCTTTTTTTCTTTTTTTTACCATTCTATTCCCAAAGCCTGTCTCAGAATCTATCCACTGTTTGCTTGTAAATGGATAAGCTGTCTTGACATTCACATGGCATCTTTAAGAGGTTGTATAATGTTCGTTATCTTTTCCTGTGTTCATCTTTCTTTCAAAATATTATTTTAAGCTTGAGTTAGTTCTTTTAAACCTCTTAGCACCTCATTGCCAAGCAGAGTGGCATTCTACTAGATTGGATCCAATGTATGGGATTGCTGAGAGTAGGTTGGTAATTACTGTGGCACCTCAAAATGATATTTGTCCTCATGGGAGAACGTATCCTATAAAGGCAGTGGCTATAACTGTGAATAGTAACATAATACCAATGTTTCATGTTTCTATGAAGATGTAGGATCCATAGTAGATCCCTCATCCTACGTGAAGAAATAGGCAAATAAAGAATATGGAAGCTCCATTGGCATGGAGGTATTGGATAATTCAACCGTAGTTTACGTCTCGGCAGATATGTGTGACTGAAGAGAATGCTGTAGTGGTATCTGATGTGTAGTGTATTGCTAGAAATAATTCTGTTGCGATTTGTAGAATTAAGCAGATTCCTAGTAGGGAACCGAAGTTTCATCATGCTGAGATATTGGATGGCGTTGGGAGGTCAATGAATGAGTGTTTAATGATTTTTATTAATGGATGTGTTTTTTGGATGTTTGTCATTAAAGGTTTCTGTAGTTGAATTACAACGATGATTTTTCATGTCATTAGTCTTGGTTTGAGTCCATGAGGAAATTATGACATATTCTATGTATTTATTGAGTGTTGTGTTTGTGTTGGGTTTTGTAGGGTTTTCTTCTAAGCTTTCCCCTATTTATGGTGGCTTTGGGTTGGTTGTTAGTGGTGGGGTTGGTTGTGGATTGATTTTAAATTTTGGTGCTTCTTTTTTGGACTTAATGGTGTTTTTAGTTTATTTAGGTGGAATGATAGCAGTATTTGGTTATACCGCGGCGATGGCTATTGAAGATTATTCTGAGACGTGGGGTTCTAATGTGGTTATTTGGGGTGCTTTAATGCTAGGTTTGTTTGTGGAGTAGGTTTTTTTGGTTTTATTAGTGAAGAATAATGAGGTGGATGTGTTTGGGGGGTGTTTATAATACAAGTGATTGGGTTATTTATAGTGGTGAGAGGGTGGAATATGTTAATAAAGATGTCATAGGTGTTGCACCTGTTTATAGTTATGGAAGTTGGTTGATGGTGTTGGCTGGTTGATCTTTATTTGTAAGTATTTTTATTGTTCTTGAGGTTACTCGTGGTAATTAGGTAAGAATTGTTAGTGCTAAGGCTATAGATAGTAAGAAGGATAGGAAGTATAACTTGATTATTCCTTTTTGGTTAGATACGGTGATAGAGGCTTTAATTTGTATGTTGGCTATTAATTTGGGTGTGGTTTTTTCTATTCAAATTATGTCTAAAAGGGGTGATGCTGCTTTTTGGCTGAGTGTTATTGTGTTTTTGGATGAGGTGTGGTATATAATGGTTGGGAAGAATCCAAGTATAGTAGAAAATGATTTGGTGTTGGAGTTTAGGTTTAGTTTTAGGTTGTAGGTTATGTTGTTGAGTTCTATTGTGATAGTGAATCCTAGGATAGTGACTCCTAAGGCTATTAGTTTTAGGTATAGTGGTATGGTGAGTATGGGGTTATTTTGGGGGGTAATGTTATTTGAGATAATAAATCCAGCGAAAATGCTTCCTACGAGTAATTGTTTAATAGAGTTTATAAGTTGTGGGTTGTTTTCATGGATGTTGATGTGTGGGTAGAATCGGGGTTGTCCTAGGAGGGCAAAGAAGATGATTTGTGTGCTGTATACAGCTGTAAGGGAGGTTGCAACAAGTGTAATTAGTAGGGCTCAGGCGTTGGTGTACCACGTGTTGGCGGATTGGATGATAAGGTCTTTGGAGTAAAATCCTGTTAGGAAAGGTATGCCTGTGAGTGCTAGGCTTCCTACTGTCAGAGAGGAAGTTGTGAATGTTGTATCTTTGGCTAATCCACCTATTTTGCAGATGTCTTGCTCATCGTTGAGGCTATGGATGATGGATCCTGAGCATATGAATAGTATCGCTTTGAAGAATGCATGATTGCAGATGTGGAGAAATGATAGGTAGGGTTGGTTAATTCCAAGGGTGACTATCATTAGGCCTAATTGACTGGAAGTTGAGAATGTGATGATTTTTTTGATGTCGTTCTGCGTTAGGGCACAGATTGCTGTGAAGAGAGTTGTGATAGCTCCTAGGCATAGTATGGTTGATATAATTGGTTGATTAGATTCTAGGAGGGGGTGAAATTGGATTAGAAGGAAGATTCCTGCTACGACTGTTGTGCTTGAGTGAAGTAGGGCTGATACTGGTGTTGGACCTTCTATGGCTGAGGGGAATCATGGGTGGAGTCCGAATTGGGCTGATTTTCCAGTGGCAGCTAGTAGTAGGCCTAGCAGGGAGATTGTTGTTATTTTAGGGTCTATGAATAGTTGTTGTAGGTCCCATGAGTTGGAGTAAATTAAAAATCATGCTATTGATAGGATGAATCCAATATCCCCGATTCGGTTGTATAGGATTGCTTATAGTGCGGAGGTGTTGGTGTCGGTGCGTCCGTACCATCATCCGATGAGGAGAAACGATATGACGCCCACTCCTTCTCACCTGATGAAGAGTTGGAATAGGTTGTTTGCTGTGACTAGGATTAGTATGGTGATGAGAAAAAATAGTAGATATTTGAGGAATTGGTTGATGTTGGGATCAGAGTGTATATATCATAGGGAGAATTCTATGATTGATCATGTTATGAATAGGGCTATTGGCACGAATAGTAGTGAGAAATAGTCTAGTTTGAAGCTAAGTGAGAGTTTTGTGGTATGGACGGTGAGCCAATGTCAGTTGGATACGATGGTTTCATTACCTAGGTGGAGGAATATGATTATGGGGATTATGCTAGTGATGAATGCTAGCTTAACTAAGGTTTTAATATATTCAGGGTAATTTTTATTTTTGTAAAAGTCTGTTAGGGATATTAGGATGGGGTATATGAGGATAATGAATATTATGATTATGGGTGAAGTTAATATGTTTATTACTTTTATTTGGAGCTGCACCAATTTTTTGGCTCCTAAGACCAATGGATAGCTACCATCCTTTAAAAGTAAGAAAGCCATATTTTTAGGTATGGTGGCATGAGTTAGCAGCTCTTGTGTATGTTCTTGGTAAATAAGAAAATTTTGTTTTCTGATTCTAGAGTCACAATCTAGTGTTTTTGTTAAACTATATTTACAGAATATTGTGCCGAGAATGATTTTTGGATTTAAAGATAGTAGGAGTAGGGGGAGTAGGTGGAGGAGGACTGAGGAGTTTTCTCGTGTGAATGATGGGTGAATGTTATTTATGTGATAGGTTTACCTCCTTGAGTAGTGGTTAATATGTATAGGGTGTATAAGGCTGTTATGAGTGTATTGGCTCCTATAAGGAGGATGGTGAAATTAGATCATGAGAATGAGGAGGTGATGATTATTAGTTCTCCAATTAGATTAATTGTTGGGGGCAGTGCGAGGTTGGTTAGGCTTGCTATAAGCCATCATAGGGCTATTAATGGGAATATTGTTTGTAAGCCTCGAGTCAGGAGTATGGTTTGGCTATGTACTCGTTCATAGTTTGTGTTTGCTAGGCAGAATAGCACTGATGAGGTTAAACCATGGGCTTCTATCAGTGCTGTAGCTCCTGTAAAGCTTCATGGGGACTGGATTAAGATGGCGACAATTACCAATGCTATGTGACTGACTGATGAGTATGCAATTAGGGATTTTAGGTCTGTCTGTCCTAAACAAATTGAGCTGGTCATTACTATGCCCCATAGTGAGAGTAGTATAAATGGGTATATTATGTGGTTTGTGATGGGTGATAGGAGGATGGTAACTCGTATTATACCTTATCAGCCTAGTTTCAGTAGAACAGCTGCCAGTACTATGGAGCCGGCAATGGGTGCCTCAACATGGGCTTTAGGTAGTGATAGGTGTAGTCCGTATTATGGTATTTTAACTATAAATGCTATTATGCATGCTAGTCAGAGTAGGTCATTTGATCACTATAGGTTTAGTTGCTCTGAGTAGTTGTTGAGGATGTGAAGGTTTAGGGATCCTAGCGAGTTTTGTAGGTAAATTAATGCAACTAGAAGGGGTAGGGATCCAATTAGTGTGTAAAATAGGAAGTATAGGCCTGCGTTAAATCGTTCTGTTTGGTTTCCTCATCGTGTAATGATAATTAGTGTAGGAATTAGTGTGGCTTCAAATAAGATGTAAAATAAGATTAGTTCTGTGGACGTAAATGTTATAATTAATAGAACTTGTAGTAGTACTAGTATGGTGATACACATTTTTTGTCGTTCTACTGGCTCTTTGTTCATGTGTTGTTGGCTAGCTATAATTATTAGTGGCAATAGTCAGGCCGTTAGAATTAAGAGGGGGGTGGAGAGGGAGTCTGAGGAGAATAATAGTGAGAGGTTAAGGCTGTTTTCGTTTGATTGGTTTAGGGGAAGTAAGCATAGTATGCTGATTAGCAGACTGTAGGCAGTGGAGTTAATTCAGATTATGTTGTTCTCTGAGAATCATGTTATAGGAATGAGTATGATTGTGGGTAAAATAATTTTTAGCATTGTAAGAGGTTTAGGTTTTGTACACAGTGTGTTCTGTATGAGTTTGATATTATAACTAGTAGAGCCAGTCCTACTGCGGCTTCACAGGCTGTGAAGACTAGGATGATAATGGGGAATATAAATGATACGGTGATGTTGAAGTTCAGGGTGATTAGGGTTGCGGTGATAAAAATTGATAATATTATACCCTCTAGGCATAGGAGTGAGGATATTAAGTGTGATCGATAGATTAGTGCTCCTAATAGGGATGCTGGGAAGGCTAGGAAGAGGTTAATTAGGATAGGGGACATTTTGTTGCTTATGAGTAGTTCATAATCTAATGAGTCGAAATCATTTGCTTTGTGTTAAACTAAGCACCATATTCATTTCATTCTAATCCTTTTTGAGACCATTGGTAGGCTAGTCCTAATGATAGGATGATGATTAGGGCTAGTGCTATGAGGACAACTGGGTAGAGGTGGTTTGTTTGTAGTGCTCAGGGAGGGGAAGAAGTATGGCAATCTCAAGGTCAAATAAAAGGAAGGCAATTGCGATGAAGAAGAATTTTATTGAGAATGGGAGTCGTGCTGAGCCTATGGGGTCAAATCCGCATTCATAGGGGTTTGATTTTTCATTGTAGATGTTGATTTGTGGAATTCAGAATGCGATAGTGATTAAGAGGGTTGCTAGGAGGGAGGAATTTAGGGTTAATGCAATGATTAGGTTGATTGCTCTTTTTTGGGTTTATACCAAATCTAGCTGATTGGAAGTCAGCTATACTGATTAATACTAAGAGAGCATGAGCCTCATCAATAGATGGAGACGTACAGGAACAGTCAGACCACATCAACAAAATGTCAGCATCGGGCTGCGGCCTCGAAGCCGAAATGATGCTTTGATATAAAATGGAATTGTAGTTGTCAGTTAGGCATGCTAGTAGGAATGTGGAGCCGATAATTACATGTAGGCCGTGAAATCCTGTTGCTATGAAGAAAGTTGAGCCATAAATGCCGTCGGAGATTGTGAATGAAGTTTCAAAATATTCCAAGGCTTGTAAGAGGATGAAGTAGATGCCTAGTAGAATAGTGATTGATGGTGCTTGGATTATGTTTTCTTGGTTTCCTTCCATTAGACTGTGGTGCACTCAGGTAATGGATACACCTGATGAGAGAAGAACCGATGTGTTGAGAAGAGGGACATCAAGGGGGTTTAGTGGGTTAATGCCGGTGGGTGGTCAGCAACCTCCTAGTTCTGGGGTTGGTGCAAGGCTTGAGTGGTAAAAGGCTCAGAAAAATCCAGCAAAGAAAAATACTTCTGAAACAATAAACAGTACTACTCCATATCGCAGTCCTTTTTGAACAACTGAGGTATGGTGGCCTTGGATTGTGCCTGCTCGTACTACATCCCGTCACCATTGATATATGGTTAGTGAGTTGGTGAGCAGTCCTAGTATTAAAAGGAATGTAGAGTTAAAGTGAAATCATATTGCTAAGCCTGATGTTATTAGGAGGGTGGATAATGCTCCTGTTAGTGGTCATGGACTTGGGTTGACTATGTGATAAGTGTGAACTTGGTGGGTCATTATGTGTTGTCATGGAGATAAAGGCTAACTAGGAGTGTAAATACATAGGCTTGGATTAGGGCTACCGCAAATTCAAGAATTGTGAGGAGAACTAGGATAATAAATGTCATGAAAGCTGTGGTTGGGTTGACAGTTAGTAGTGCTAGTGTAGCTCCACTGATTAGGTGGATTAATAGGTGGCCTGCTGTGATGTTAGCTGTTAATCGAATGGCTAGCACTATTGGTTGAATAAATAGGCTAATGGTTTCGATAATGACTAGTATTGGGATTAAGGGGATCGGGGTTCCTTGTGGTAAGAAGTGGGCTAGGGATGATTTCATTTTATGGCGGAAGCCTAGGATCACAGTTCCTGCTCAGAGTGGGATAGCCATTCCTAATTTATCGATAGTTGAGTTGTTGGGGTGAAGGAGTATGGAAAAAGTCTGAGTAGGTTAGTTGATCCAATGAAGATAATAAGTGAAATTAGTATTAAAGATCAGGTGCGTCCTTTGGAGTTGTGCATTGTTATTATTTGTTTAGTGATTAGTTTGATTACTCACTGTTGGATGGAAGCTAGTCGGTTATTGATTAATCAGTTTGGAGCTGGGAGTATAATACTTGGGAAGAGGATTACTAAGGTGACAATAGGAAGTCCTATTATAGTAGGGGTAATGAAAGAGGTAAATAGATTTTCGTTCATTTTTCTTCTCAAGGGTTGTTTTGTTTTATAGATTGAATATTTTTGGGTGTGGGGTTAGGTGAAAAGTTGAATGTTTTTACTTTTAACTGAAAGATAATAAACAGGGTGAGAATTATGGAGGTAATTGTTGTAAATCATGTGGATGTGTCGAGTTGTGTCATATCATTATGGAGGGCTAGCTCTCTGTTTTCAACTTAAAAGGTTAACACTGCAGCAGCTTCATAATGTACTTATAGTATAGATAGGGATCAGTTTTCAAAGTATTTGAGTGGGACTATTTCTAATACAATTGGTATAAAGCTGTGGTTTGAGCTGCAGATTTCGGAGATTGGCCGTAGTAAAGTCCTGGTCGTGTGGAGGTGAGGGTTGCTTGGTTAAGGCGCCCTGGGATGACATCTGTTTTTAGGCCTAATGATGGGATGGATCATGAGTGTAGTACGTCTTCAGATGAAATTAATATTCGGATGAGTACTTTTATGGGCAGTACGACTCGATTATCAACTTCAAGGAGTCGGAGCTCTCTTGGCTTTAGTTCTGATGTTGGAATCATGTAAGAGTCGAATGTTAGGTCTTCATAGTTGGTATATTCATAGCTTCAATATCATTGATGTCCTATGGTTTTTACTGTTAGTACTGGATTGTTAATTTCATCTATTATATATAGGATTTGTAGGGATGGAAGAGCGATTATAATGAGAATAATTGCTGGGAGGATTGTTCAGATTGTCTCTACTTCTTGGGCATCTATTGTGTTGGTGTGTGTTAATTTAGTAGTAAGCATAAGTGGGAGGCGAGAATTCTACCATTGAACCACCAATGCCCCACCAAGTAGTAAGCATAAGTGAAATGATATAGAGTACCAGAGAGCTAATAAGGTAGACAATTATTAGTGTGTGGTCATGGAAGTTTAGTAATTCTTCTATGATGGGTGATGTTGCATCTTGTAGGCCTAGTTGGAGGGGGTGAGCCATGAAGATATACGGGAGATTAGCCTGTAATTTAACTTTGACAAAGTTATGTAATTGTTTTACTAATATCTTATGTAGAGAAAGACATATAGGATATGGAGCTAGCTTGAAACTAGTTCTAGGGGGTTCAATTCCTTCCTTTCTTAGTGAGTTTTTACATATGTAGGCTCTTTGAACATGTGGTACAGTGGTGGACATCCGTGGAGTCACTCTAGGTTTGTTGTTGTAAGTTCAACTACTCCTACTTCTCATTTTGAGGCAAATGCTTCTCTTATTATGAAGACTATAATAATTACTGCAGTTAGGGAAATGAAAGAGCCTATCAATGATACTATATTTCATGCTGTGTAGGCATCTGGGTAATCAGAATAGCATCGTGGTATGCCAGATAGGCCGAGGAAGTGTTGAGGAAAGAAGGTTAGGTTTACTCCTACAAATATAATGGTAAAATGAATTTTTGCTCATGTTTGATCTAGCATATAGCCTGAGAATAGTGGGAATCAGTGCACAAACCCTCCCATGATTGTGAATACTGCTCCTATTGATAAAACATAGTGGAAATGGGCTACTACATAGTATGTGTTGTGCAGTATGATATCTAGTGATGAGTTGGATAGAACAATATCTGTGAGGCCACCTACTGTGGAAAGGAAGATAAAGCCTAGGGCTCAGAGTAGGGCTGGTGATCATTTGATATTACCTCTGTGAAGCATAGCTAGTCATCTGAATACTTTTACTTCTGTGGAGATGGCAATGATTATAGCGGCAGATGTGAAGTAGACTTGGGTATCAACATCTATTCCGACGGTAAACATATGGTGTGCTCATACCATGAATCCCAGGAAGCCAATAGACATCACAGCTTGTACTATCCCTATATACCCAAATGGCTCCTTTTTACCAGAGTAATAGGTAACGATGTGGGAGATTATGCCGAAGCCTGGGAGAATTAGGATATATTCTTCAGGGTGACCAAAAAATCAGAATAGGTGTTGATAGAGGATGGGGTCTCCTCCTCCTGCAGGGTCAAAAAAGGTAGTGTTTAGATTCCGGTCAGTTAAAAGTATTGTAATGCTAGCCACTAGGACCGGGAGAGAGAGTAGTAAGAGGACTGCAGTGACCAGGACCAATCATACAAATAATGGTGTTTGGTATTGTGACATTGCAGGGGGCTTTATATTAATAATTGTTGTGATGAAATTAATAGCGCCAAGGATTGAGGACACACCAGCTAAGTGAAGGGAAAAAATGGTGAGATCCACTGATGCTCCTGCATGGGCTAAATTACCTGCTAATGGAGGGTATACAGTTCATCCAGTTCCCTGCTCCAGCTTCTACTATTGAGGAGGCCAGTAAAAGGAGGAAAGCTGGTGGGAGGAGTCAAAAGCTTATATTATATATTCGGGGAAATGCTATATCAGGGGCTCCAATTATTAGTGGTACTAATCAATTGCCAAACCCGCCGATAAGGATTGGCATCACTATGAAAAAGATTATTACAAAAGCATGGGCTGTGATGATGACATTATAGATTTGGTCATCTCCTAACAGGGTCCCTGGTTGTCCTAATTCTGCGCGAATTAATAAGCTCAGGGCAGTTCCTACTATTCCTGCTCAGGCCCCAAATATTAAGTACAGGGTGCCGATGGCTTTGTGGTTTGTTGAGAATAGTTAATGGTTGACGAACATAGGTAAAATGGCTGAGCAAGCATTAGACTGTAAATCTAAAGACAGTGGTTGAGTCCTCTTTTTACCAGTCTTCGAGGTGATGGATCACGTTGAATTGCAAATTCAGAAGAGCAGCTTCAATTCTGCCGGGGCCTCTCCTGCCTTTTTTTCTTAGACGGCAGGAGAGGTAGATTGAAGCCAGTTGTTTAGGGTATTTAGCTGTTAACTAAAATTTCATGGGTTTGAACCCCATCAATCTAGTGAGGACTTAGCTTAGTAAAAGTGCTTGATTTGCGTTCATGAGATGTAGAGTGATATCCTGCAGTCCTTATTACAGGAATTAAGTTTATTTAACTTGCTTAGGGCTTTGAAGGCTCTTGGTCTATTTAACCTAAATTCCTAGTTTAGGGTAAATATGATAGGTGTTAGGGGTAGGGTTATAGTTGTAACAATGAAAAGTGGGGGCAAAAGAATTGAGGGTTTGTTGTTGGGGTGTCATCATTTTATTTTTGTAGCATTTGTGGTTGGAAATAGGGTTAGGGTTGTTGAGTAGATTAATCGTATATAGAAGTAGAGGTTTAGTAGGGCTAGTATGGCTATAATTGTGGGTGTCAGGATTAGATCATTTTTTGTTAGCTCATTAATAATGATTCATTTTGGTAGAAATCCTGTTAGTGGTGGGAGTCCTCCAAGTGATAAGAATGAGATGAGTAGTATTAGGGTAACTACTGGGGCCATATTTCAGGAGTGGGCTAGGGTTAGTGTGTTGGTGTTTGAGTTGTGGTTGATTATTGTGAACATGGTAATAGTTAGTAGGATATAGATGATTAGGTTTAGTATGAAGTCTATGGATGGCTATTATTCATCCTATATGGGTGATTGATGAATAGGCTATGATTTTGCGTAGTTGTGTTTGGTTCAGTCCTCCTCAGCCCCCTACTATGATTGATAGTAGAGCTATTGATATAATGAGTTGGTGGTTGATTGATGGTGTTAGTTGATATAGGATGGAGATTGGGGCTAGTTTTTGTCATGATAGTAGTAGTATCCCAGATATGAGAGTAGTTCCTTAGGTGACTTCTGGTACTCATAGATGAAATGGGGCTAGTCCGAGTTTTATAGTTAATGCTATTAGGGTTATGAAGGATGTAATGGGGTTTTGTATATAGGTGATTGATCATTGGCCTGAATCTAGTAGGTTGATCACAATTGCTATTAGTAGTAGCATAGAT